GTTTTACCCTACTGATGAGTTTGTTGTCTAAACAGTAATCCAACCCAGTACGAGAAGAACCGTTGGTTCAGATAATTGGTAACTGCGGTTAGCTGAAAAGCTAGTGCCGCCAAGCTACCATCTGTAGGATTATGGCTGAACGCCTCTAAGTCAGAATCCATGCTGGAATAGACGATAATCACCTTTCCCGATGTGCCGCGAATAGCGATAGGTGTCTTCTGGACACCCAACATCATACAATTGCAACGCACTCCGCTGCCTGTCAAGTACTGGCGGTGGAGAGTAGGCTGATTTGTAATTTCAAATATTGGGAAAGATAATCCTTTGTAGACGACTTAACTACAGAACGGGGTGTTGTAAGCATGAGAGTAGTCTTGTACTACGATCTGGCTGGAGATTTAGGCCTGTGTTTTTAATGGATGTGTTTCGAAATGAAAACATTTCTACCCCCCACATGTGACAAAGCGCGACAATGTTTAAAAACTATAGAGTTTAGGCAGTCGAAATAAGGCTGGCGTTAAAGTGATTTTCCTTCCGCTATGGGGGCGGCGAAAGTAACCGGTCAAAGTGCTGGTAGAGAGTTAATACTGTTAAGCTTAAGATCGTCAAAGTCTTTGTTTTGGCTTAGTGAGGTTTGTTCGCAAAAATCGCTAAGTGCCGCTGCTATTGTTTTCCGAGCCAAATTCGGCGACCTTAGTATCGGGTTTATAACAGGCAGAAAGCGAGAAACACTTTGCGTGAAAATCGCTAAGTGCCAGCGCTAATGATTTCTGAGCCAAAATCGGAGATTTTAGTATGGGGGTTTAACAGGGCAAGCTAGACGGCAGGGCGTAAAATTAGACTTGGTTTAAGTATGTTAAAGAGAGCGAATAGCGTGAATTAGACTGGTTTAACTATGTTAAAGAGAGCGAATAGCATGAATGAGATTGGGTTTAATGTGTTTAAGAGGAGAGCGCGAATGGATTCTGAATATTGGGTCTGGGTTTTTAAATCTTTTTTAAAGAGAGAGGCGGATGACCCGAAATATGAATGCGGTTTTAAAATTTTTTTTAAAGAGAGGAGGAAAATGAGCGGAATTTAGACTTTGTATTAAATTTTTTTTAAAGGGGGGGGTAAAGAGAGCGGAATAGCATGAAATAGACTTGGTTTAAGTATGTTAAAAGAGAGCGGAATAGCATGAATTAGACTTGGTTTAAGTATGTTAAAGAGAGCGGAATAGCATGAAATAGACTTGGTTTAAGTATGTTAAAAGAGAGCGGAATAGCATGAATTAGACTTGGTTTAAGTATGTTAAAGAGAGCGGAATAGCATGAAATAGACTTGGTTTAAGTATGTTAAAAGAGAGCGAAATAGCGTGAATTAGACTTGGTTTAAGTATGTTAAAGAGAGCGGAATAGCATGAAATAGACTTGGTTTAAGTATGTTAAAAGAGAGCGAAATAGCGTGAATTAGACTTGGTTTAAGTATGTTAAAGAGAGCAGAATAGCGCGAATTAGACTTGGTTTAAGTATGTTAGAGAGAGCAGAGTAGCATGAAATAGACTTGGTTTAAGTATGTTAAAAGAGAGCAGAATAGCGCGAATTAGACTTGGTTTAAGTATGTTAGAGAGAGCGGAATAGCGTGAATTAGACTTAGTTTAAGTATGTTAAAGAGAGCGGAATAGCGTGAATTAGACTAGGATAAAGTATGCAAAATGAAGCTGAGGACTTTGTGAAAAAATGCGAAGTTGCTTGCTGTTCTAATTGTATGGGTTTGGAGATGTTTTTGGCTTGGATTAATAACAGGCAGGAAGCGCGAGGAAACGCAGCGAATATGGACGCGTACGCGGAAGGTGACGGCGGAGGAAGCGCGGATATGGAGGTGAAAATGGTGAAGGTGATGGCGCGAGGAAGGTGACGGCGCATGGGTGTGAATATGGAGGTGATGAAAGGTGACGGGAGGAAACGCATGATGTATATGACAAGTTAGTGTCGTACTTAAGCGGAGCGCGCGCTGTGCATGTATGAAGGTGTCGAAGGTGTTCATATTGCCTAAGACGCGTACGTGCACATGTCATGTCGCATAGGAAGCGTAGGTATGGTTGTGCAAGTCGTAAATGGCCACTTTGGTGGTTTAACATTGTTTCCAGGCCGCGTATGCGCAAATATGGGGTGCGGCGGCTATCTGCACTGCTGTGTATGAAGGTGTCGGTCTGTGTGGGGTTCCTATCGGAGAGAATACGTATGCTGCGTTGTAGGAGTGAGCTGCTGGCCACACGTTTGTATTGGAGTGCGCCACACCACCCCCCTTTTTGTTTTGTTACTATATAAAGTGTAGCCATCCACCCAGCCAATTCTGAGGGCCAGAAGGGGTATTGGGGGCCATCGTGTGCAGTCTATGGCCACGTATGTGGACATGTGAGTGTGTAAATGTGTTGTACCAATGTATACGAGTGATAAACACTAATAGGTGTGTCGGTCAAAGTCAAATGTAGACGGCCATCTTAGGCTGAAAGCCACATAATCCGTCTGCTCTGTGAAGTTAAGCAGCCTCAAGCTCGGGTAGTACTCGGGTGGGTGACCACCGGGGAAGTCCGGGTGCTGTCTACTTTTTAGCCCGTTTTGAGCTGTTTACCGACTTTGCGTGTGTTTGCAAACGCAAGATATGATGTCTGGCATGTGCCCACACGACATCTTGGTTTTAGTATGCCTGGCGAGCCACTACACACGAGATCTTGTTTTTTGTATGGTGTTCTTTAATTTGATTATTATGAAGATGAAAGAGAACCGTTAGAACGGGTATGAAGGGTGTTCTAGGGGTGCTTTTCGGTGCTCTTTCACGTGGACATATCGCAGCATGCGACATGTCAGTGGAACACTGTCTAAATTAATAAATACTGTTTTGGCCGATTTCGAAAAGCGTCTATAAAAGGGCATAAGTGCAATGACTCGTCTTTGTAACCCTGCGGCCTAGGCGTAGTTTTTCACGGGGAATCCGAATATCAAAGGTAGATTTATGTACAACATGTACTTTTTTTGCAACATGTACTTTTTATCTACGGGACATAGACATACGTAAAAACACACGGCGGAGCCGTTCCCGCAATCAGAATTTGTCTAACTCTTCTAGATCAAAAGTTATTCAGCGAAATGTGAGACTTTGTTTGGCATGCTCTTTTTTTAGGTGGTTTTTTCCGGTTTTATGTGCCGCCC